CTCTGTTGGCTGCCTTTCTGCCTTTTTAATGACTCTTTTGTACAAACCAGAGCATCCCTTTGTGCCTTCCCCCGCTTCCCCAGAGCCAGCAGAAGGGAATGCAAGTCATCCTGAAGAACCTGAGTCAGGAGGAAGAGATGAACAAGGAAAACCGGCAGAGCCTGGGGCAGCAGCTGAATGCCCAGGGGCAGACGCAGAACTGCGTAATCGGACAGCTCAGGCAGATGTTGGCCGAGCGAGAGGCTCAAGTGAGGGAGCTGGAGGAGAAGGTCGGGCAGCTCACGTCCTCGCAGGTAAAGCAAGTTATGAGCTCCTGCACCTCTTTTTCTACGAAATGACCCCTGTTTGCAAGTCAGGTTGAGGCACCTTCTCACTTGACTTGTGTCACAAATAGTTTGGGCCTTAGAAGATGTAATGGGGCTTGCCGGCTCCTTCGCCGGAATTATTTTGAGTCCTTACAGTTTATTACAGTTCTTAAACAGCGAGCCACCTCAGTGGCCCTTGTGAGGGCAGAAAGGCGAGATATAAATCTCTTTGACAAGTGTGTGCAGATGTTAGCCATTGTCCAACTGCTCTTCGTCCGAGGAGCTCATCAGCATAGCACAAATAATACATTTAAAGCACACATGGTAACACTTCGGGCCGCAGATGTCATTTTCGTCACAACGACCCTGTGAGGTAGTCCCGGCTGAGAGAGACTGAGCCCAGCGAGCTTCACGGCTGAGGGAGGACTTGGCAGCGGCTCTCCCAGGTCCTCACCTGACATTCACAGAATCACAGAGTTGGAAGGGGCCATAGAGGGCATCTAGTCCACTCCCCTGCTCAGTGCAGGATCAGCCTTAGAGCATCCCTGACTAGTGTTTGTCTAGCCGCTGCTTAAAGACTGCCAGTGGGGGGAGCTCACCACCTCCCTAGGCAGCGGATTCCATAACTCTGACTGTCAACATGTTTCCCCTAAGATCCAGCCGGTACCTTCCCGCCCTTAATGTTAACCCATGATTGTGGGTCCTCTCTTCCGCTGCCCACAGGAACAGCTCCCTGCCCTCCTCTAAGGGACAGCCCTTCAAGTACTATGCCGCTCGGGCTCTGACTTGATTGGTATTTTACAGCAGCAGCATCTCCATCAACCGGAGGAAGGCAGATCCGATTCCGCTTCTCCTCTGTCCGCAGAGTCTTTGGAAGAAGAGAATTTCACGTCAGCATCCAGGAAGGGGGATCACGTTGGCGGGAACGCTTCCACGAAGTAAGAGAGTATGATGTTTGTCCTTTTTTTTAACGCTTAAACCCTTTTATTAAAGGACCGCGGTCCCCCATCAGAGCCGGTAGCTCATTCACGGTTGATAAGAAGCTCTCAATTGTTTGATCAGACCCAGCCCTGCGAGGAAAGGCCGAGGGACTTGGGAACGTTCCGCCTGGAGAAGAGGAAGTTGGGCGGGACAGGATTGCTCTCTTGAAGTCTTTGAAGGGCGTTCACTTAGAGGAGGGGGGCAGGGAGCTGTTCCTGTTCCCCTCCCTCCTAGCCAAAGCCAGCTCAGGGCGGCTTACAAAACAGACAATTATATTAAAAACATAAGTTACAATTAAAACAATTCTAAAACGGAGGAGGGCAGGGAGCTGTTCCTGTTTGTTTGTTTGAACTTTTACCCCTCCCTCCTAGCCAAAGGAGGGCGGTTTACAAAACAGACAAGCCAGCTCAGGGCGGCTTACAAAACAGACAATTATATTAAAAACATAAGTTACAATTAAAACAATTCTAAAACCATAATAACGTGCTGGTGATCGTTGTTATCCATAAACGGTAGCAGAATCATTCACAGTGATCACCTCACCGTCAGTTCGGGGGCTCTTTACTGCCGGAGCTCCACTCCTGTGCGCTCCTGCAGGAAACGACCCCTGAGCAAGCGTTACAGCAATGAAGAAGCACAGAAGGAATGGAGAGGTACTTTGTACACAGGTCAATGTAACATCTGACCTCCCTTGTTACCATGGCAGCATAGCTGACCGTCCGGTTGTTCCCATAGAACAGGGTTCTCCAGCGTGGTGCCCACCATCGCGTTTCCTGATGCCCACCAAGTGGTTTTGGAAGGGGGGGGCCACTGGGGATCAGATTAGTTGTGCAAATTCTTTTAATTTTTCCAATTTTTCGGAAAAAAACAAAAAAGGCTTCAGGAAAAAAAATGGAAAAAACACATTTCCCCCCCGAATGTTTCCGTTTTTTTTCTGGGCCTTCACATCTGTAGTTGGCGATCCAAGCATAGGTGATGGAGGGTAGGCAGGTTGAATGTAGAGCCGCTTGCAGAAACATCTACAGTGCTTTCTCTCCATTTCAGGTTCGTGTCTCACATGGGGCACACCCTGGTGGACTCTGCCGCAACTTCGTGTCCGGCCACCGTCTCTCTTGGCAGGTATGTGCAAAGACCCCCGGGGGCATCCCATCCCGGGGGCAGCTGAAATTCCATTGGTGACTTAACCGTGGAATTTTCTCCGTCTCCCGGTCTCTAAGACCCGTCTGAGTTGTGTTCATCCTTGCAAAAGTTAAACTCCACCTCCCCTGCCATGGTAGGAATCTTGAATGTGCCCGACTCCCATCGATTTCTGCTATTTCCCTTTAATTCTTCCAGAAAAGAAGAAGAAGAGAAGAGAAGAGAAGAGATTGGATTTATACCCTGCCCTTCACTTGGAGTCTCAGAGCAGCTTACAAACTCCTTTCCCTTCCCCTCCCCACAACAGACACCCTGTGAGGTGGGTGGGGCTGAGAGAACTCTGACACAAACTGCTCTTTTTCAAGGACAGCTGTGCCAGAGCTTGTGACTGACCCAAGGTCACATCAGCAGGCACACAACCACTACACCAAACTGCATATAAGAAGAGGGCTGCTGGATCAGAACAATAGTCCATCTAGTCCAGCATCCTGTCTCACACAGTGGCCAACCAGTTCCTCTGGAGGGCCAACAACAGGGCAGAGAGGCCGAGGCCTACCCCTTATAAGAACATCTGAAGAGCCCTGCTGGATCAGACCAGTGAGGGTCCATCTAGTCCAGCATCCTGTCTCACACAGTGGCCTCAACCAGTTCCTCTGGACAGCCAGCAACAGGGCATACAGGCCGAGGCCTTCCCATGATAAGAACACAGGAAGAGCCCATCTAGTCCAGCATCCTGTCTCACACAGTGACCAACTGGTTCCTCAGCCAGTTTGGTGCTGTGGTTAAGTGTGCGGACTCTAATCTGGGAGAACCGGGTTTGATTCCCCACTCCTCCACTTGCACCTGGCTGGATGACCTTGGGCAAGCCGTAGCTCTGATAAGAGCTGTTCTTGAAAAAGAGTGGTTTCTGTCAGAGCTCTCTAAGCCCCATCGACCTCACAGGGTGTCTGTTGTGGGGAGGGGAAGGGAAAGGAGTTTGTAAACTGCTCTGAGACACCTTTGGGTAGTGAAGGGCGGGGTAGAAATCCAATCTCTTCTTCTTCTTCTTCTTCTTCTTGAGATACAGTGACCAGAGCTGTACACGGTCTTCAACATGAGGCCACACCATAAATCTATAAAACGTTGGCCAATTTCTTGAATCCTATGTTTTTTTCTGAGCAGATGATTGATATTTAAAATATCTATTCTGCTACGGTCAGGCCTCACCTGGAGTCCTGTGTCCAGTTTTGGGCACCACATTTTAGGAAGGATGTTGACAAGCTCGAGCGTGTCCAGAAGAGGGCAACCAGGATGGTGAGAGGGTTGGAATCTAAATCTTACGAGGAAAGGCTGAAGGCGTTGGGTATGTTTAGCCTGGGAAAGAGAAGGCTTAGAGGGGACACAATTGCAGTCTTCAAGTATTTGAAGGGCTGTCATGTAGAAGGTGGAGCGGATCTGTTCTCTCGTGCTCCGGATTGCAAGACTAGATTTAATGGGTGGAAATTACAAGGGAGTCTATACCGGCTAAATATCAGGAGAAACTTCCTAACTGTAATGAGAGTGGTTGAGCAGTGGAACAGTCTGCTTCGGGAGGTGGTGGATGCTCCTTCGCTGGACGTTTTCAAGCAGAGGCTGGACGACCACCTTTCGGGCATGTTGTGGGGCTATCTTTCGGCTCTGCTCCTGCAGAGTGCAGGGGGTTGGACTAGATGACCTGCAAGGTCCCTTCCAACTCTAACGTTCTATGATTCTAAGAAGAAGAAGTCATGTAGAAGATGGAGCAGATCTATTCTCTCTTGCTCTGGATTGCAAGACTAGGTCTAATGGGTGGAAATTACAACGGAGGTCGTTACCGACTAAATATCAGGAGGAACGTCCTAACTGTGAGAGTCGTTGAGCAGCGGAACAGACTGCCTCAGGAGGTGGTGGACGCTCCTTCGCTGGACGCTTTCAAGCGGAGGCTGGACGACCATCTTTCGGGCATGTTGCAGGGCTATCTTTCGGCTTTGCTCCTGCAGAGTGCAGGGGGTTGGACTAGATGACCTGCAAGGTCCCTTCCAACTCTAACATTCTATGATTCTATGATATCGTGTGTTTTTTTCCTGACTATTTTATAAGATTCTTGTTATATCTGTTTTTTGATCCCCTCTTTGTAACCCGCTTTGAACCAGTGCTGGACAAGGGTCATGTAAATGCCTGAAATAAAACCGAGTCACTCAAAATGAGCCCGGTCCCTTCACTTCCTGTCCGTTTTAGGCCCATCGAGCCCGATGACTTGGACGCGAAAGTCTTGAATGTCCAGATCGCGGAGTACAGAGCTCTCCTCCTGGCTGCTGAGCTAGAGCAGGAGAGGCTGGTCCAGTTGGTCGGGGTCCTCCAGAAAAGGTGAGAGACGGTTCTTGAGAGCAGAACTGAGCTGCATGTTGGGAACGACCCGTGCTTCCTCCTTCCCAGAGTGGTCTGCGCCTTTTGCCAACCACTGCGTTTTGTCGCAGCCGTCTGAATAGCCTGGCTTAGCCTGAGCTTGTCAGATCTCGGAAGCTAAGCAGGGTCAGCCATGGTTAGTACTTGGATGGGAGGCCACCAAGGAAGAGTGGGGTTGCTATGTGGAAGGGAATATTGGCAAAACCACCTCTGCTTGTCTCTTGCCTGGAATGCCACATGTGTCGGTTACAATTTGATGGTTTGGTGTAGTGGTTAAGTGCGCGGATTCTAATCTGGGAGAACCGGGTTTAGATTCCCCACTCCTCCACTTGCACCTGGCTGGATGACCTTGGGCAAGCCATAGTTCTGATAAGAGCTGTCCTTGAAAAAGAGCAGTTTCTGTCAAGAGCTCTCTCAGCCCCACCTACCCCACAGGGTGTCTGTTGTGGGGAGGGGAAGGGAAAAGGAGTTTGAAAGCTGCTCTAAGACACCTTTGGGTAGTGAAGGGCGGGGTAGAAATCCAATCTCTTCTTCTTCTTCTTTGAGGGCAGTTTGCGTCAGAGCTCTCTCAGCCCCACCCACCTCACAGGGTGTCTGTTGTGGGGAGGGGAAGGGGAAAGGAGTTTGTAAGCCGCTCTGAGACTCC